AATGTTTATAGACATATTTAATTTTAATTTATGATATATTTATATTCTAATTTTCACCCATCAAAATCAAACCTACATTTATATGCTTCACACAAACGTAGCTGGTTAAATAAAATTTTTTTTTATAGATATACTTGAGAAATTACCAATTGGTATTTGCTAGGTAAGTATTAGATACCATCATATTGCAATATTTATTTAAGACTCTAAACAACAGAATGATGAATATATTAGTTTTACAGTGATATTTTTTTTTTTGTATCTGTCACATCACTTCTTGAAGCAGTAAAAATGCTTCAATTTTCAAGATTGAGCGAATTTTCTAATTAAAAATTGAGTGTAGTATACTTAGAGAAAAATCAAAAAAAAAAATTACAAGAATTTTTAAACAAAACTAATAGTCAATTATTCAACAAAATTGATTTGGTTTTTTTTTTTTATACACTTGATTCAAACTTTTACTAAAAATGTTTAAATAAGTACGCAATTATTAACAAGCTCACTACTTGATTTAATGTTAAATTAATTTAAAAACAAAATCATGATAATTTGTCAATGTAAGAAGTTATTTCTGCTAAACAAAATCAAATTTAGACTAAACAAATCACGTAGAGATGGACGAAATTGAACGTTTAAACTATGAATAACGATATTCATTATTTTGTTATAAACAAAAAACATTATTTGCGAGGACAAATTATATAATTCAACCTACTTTATTGTAACTAGGTACAAAGTCAAAACTAGATTTATTTATAAAAAGTATTATAGTTATACAATTTTCGACTAAACTATACAAAAATTTCAAATTTAATATATCTATAAATAAATCAAAAACAATTTGAAACTTATATCATTTAAAGGAAATAATCATATAAAAATTTTGGTAAAAATTTCAAGTAAGTATCTACGATCTTGAGATACTCTATAAAGAGAATGATTTTATCAAAAACTGGTTAAGCGTACAAATTCTTGTTTCTCCTTATTTTATTTTATTTTTTTAGTTTTCTTTAAAAATATTGGAAATTTTTGAAGCATTTTTTGACTACTTATTTTGAATACATACAAAAAATTACTCATCAATGACATCATTGTAAAAACGATATACCTATTCCTCGTTTGGTTCGGAATTTAAAAAGTTGCAGGGCTTTCAATTATTTAATATTGTTGTTATTTGACATTCGTTGAAAAAATATCACATGTGGACTCTTGTTTTTCTGTATTCAATAAATACTTATATATTCATTTCATATAAATTAAAATTAAAATATGAAAAATATTTTTTTTTAAAGATCAAGAGCGTAATCCATTTTCCTTATCACTCGTTAGTCATTCCATGAAAAACGCCACTGTCTATAGTCAGTACAGTCTACACATAAAGTTAAAGCTGTTAAAGGTAATTGTAAAAATAATTTAAAATATCAATATTAACTTTAAACTAAGCCTAAGTGGCTAAGTCCTTAAAGCTATATAATATACAACAGTTATGTAGATAAATTATATTTATTTAGTAGGTACTTTAAATTGTATCTTGTCTTATAATTTATACATGTTATAAACTTAAACTTTTTGGAGTATAATTATCCTATGACTTTATTTGTTTTCTTAAGTAGGTAGGAGGTAGGTACAATGTACCAGTGTATATTTTAACTAATATAGTGGGTGACAAAAATGTCGCTTAGAGAAAACTTTTTGTCACCTAGTAGACTACATATTTAATTACTGGATGACAACGATTTTTCGTAAAAATTACGATGTTTAAAATTATTATATAATTTTTTCTTATGATTAATTTTATTATTTATTTATATATATTTATATTATTTCGTTCAATCATTTGAATTTGGAAGTACAAATATTTATTGAAATTTTCTACAATGGAAAACCCGTGTCACTGATCACCTTAGATAGATAGGTACTCATAGAATAATAAAGTATGCAAGACGCAATTTATTCTATGCGACAATGTGACATGTTTCATCTGGTCATCAGCCGTTCCAACAAATATCTACAAATTGTTTTCGATTTGATTTTAGTCCTAGTTCCTACTAACTAATTATTATATTTATTTTAATGCGTGTTGTTTTTTAGGTATACTTACACAATACGTATACTGGCATACTGTAGATATATTATTGATTCCTTTTTTTAACTAAAAATAATAAGGTTAACTCATAAATTATTTGTATTTTTTTATGTGTTGTGAGTTTTGATGCCTTGATGGTATTGTTAAATATAGGTAAGGTTTTGTTTATTTAATTCAGAAAAGTATTTTTATGCATATAATATGTTGATATTGATTATGACATGTCCCGTGAAAATTTGTTTTTTTTAATGTCGCCCAGTAATAATTGATAAAAATATTCACTCCAATGTACATATTACATTTTGTATTGATTAAAAAAAAAAAATTAACTGTTAAGATTCATTAATGCATTTATTATTATCATTAACAGGTAAATAAAAAATAAACATAAATTTATGATAAATTTAAATATTGTATCATTATAACAATAATACCTATACCAAATATATAATCAATGCACAGTATATTATTTTATGTTCGTCTAATCATTGAGCTTACGTAATTATTGTAATAGTTTAATTCATATTAGTTTAGTAGTTATACTAGTCAGTGTAATCAGCTTTAACTTTATTCAGCTAATAATAATTAATAATATTCCGGTACCTAATTTAAAATATCACTCTTATCTTTCACAATCATTGGCTTTCGAGAAGATTCATAATTTAATAAATTTCTCTTTGAAAATAGATACCATATCATTCTACTTTTTTTATGGAGTAAAATTATGTTATCATTATTATAATTAAAAAATGAATACCTAGATAAAAAAATGACCAACATAAAAAAAAATTGAAATATCATTCAAGATTTTATTTTATTTGGTATAATATATTATTTATTTTATTATACACTAATGAATATTGATACAGGTACTCAATAGTATAAAATAACCAAAACGAGTTTCCTTGTTTATATTATCATTAAATTATGTAATAAATTCGGTGCAAAAAAACAGCATTGTCAACCAGTAATCAGTATTGCTATACCTGAGCTATAACATAGGTTCATCTTTCCAATCTAAACCATTCAAAATATAATTCTCATAAACATTATATAAACAACTAGATTCACTGGATTTTTCGATAAATTCTTTACCATAAAAATACATAAATAAATTTAGTTGGCCAACATATTATAATACTATAATAACAGTCGCCAGTCTTTTATAAACGAATATAAATTATAATATTATTATAGAATACATAGAGTGAGTATACATATATATATATATATATAGATACATATACTACTCTTTATAAATATATTAAGATAGATTTATAAGTCATTATATAATAGGTTAGGTATAATTTATAAATATGATTAATACTCATGTCATATGGATGTATACAGAGCGATACTTATAACTTTGAATACTTAATATTTTAAAATTTTTACAATAACAATAATTTTTAATTTATCTTACTTGATAAAATATTAAATATTGTACGTATTATAAATACTAGTATTTTTATTTCGATTTTTTTACTTATTCAATTACTTATGTAATTAAATTATCAGATTAAATAGGTAAGTTTTAATATATATGTATATCATTAATGTGTTGAAGTATGACTTTGGACTGAGTTTATAGGGGAAGAGTATGGCTCAGTCACTTGACCTATTCATTAAATATGATTGTTTAGTGTTTACCCTAGTCCTATTGGATAGATAAATCAGTAGTGGTTCTACGGAACTGAGGGAAAGGTAATGGTTGGTTATATCTCTTTGACATGTAGGTACATTTTTAAAAATATATTTAAAAAAATACCTATACAGAGTACATATTACCTAACTGTAATAGTCATCAAAACATAAGCCATTTATATTATAATAAAAACAACAATAATTTTATAATTATGTATTAAGTATACTTATCATTATAATACATTAATTACTTCTCATGTCCTCCCTGTATAATAAAAAAAAATAATTATGTACAACATAAGTAATATCATTGATTATACTAGTATTAATAATCAATGGTAATATGTATTACATCATATATTAATATATTATGCTAAGTATTTTTGTCTTCCCCCCTCATGACTGTTAACATCTGTGATAGGTACAGGTGTCTTAATATTAAAACTGGATACAGAATTATCAACTATCATGTATCAACATTCAACTAGTAAGCCACGCGATAGTAATTAAGTAACTTCTTAAAAAAAACCTATTTATAATAATAATATATTAATAACTAATAACTACTAATACATACAGTAATACAGTATACATAAATTGAAAATATTTAATTCGTTTCTCATTCTCAGTATTCTTGCAATTACGTGTATTTAGTAGGAATGTGAAAAAAATATTGCCAATATCGAAATATCGATATTATTGTTCTGATATTAGTGATATTTGATTAGATGGTGACATGGGAGGTTCCAGAAATTTTCCATGGAGGGAACCTAACCATAGCAAAAAAAAAAATAAAAATATTTTGAATCGATTACAATATTATTCGAAAAATTGTCAAAATTAAACTATTTTAATTTAAAAAAAAAAATTAAATATCAGCATCGATATATAGTTGCTTTTGGGGAATATTATCAATATATCGATTTTGACATCGGTTTTCGAATCCCTACATAGACGTATTTTAGTATTTACTATGGTCGAATTTTGACCAACTTTCAACCATTGATTATATAATCAATGGTTCAACTAACTTATATTATAATAAATAAATAATTACCTACAACAGGTAAAAAATTTGTTTAATCGCTGAAGATGATACTAAGACAGTTTTAGGGAGTGGCACTTTTTACTTTCTACATTCTGATTGGGTGGGATCATAAGACGATTAAAATTTTATACCATTTAATCTGTTCTGCGTTGTTACTTCAGAACTCTGTTGCAATAATGTGTCACATGTATATACCAGATTTTATAAATATATATAATATTGATAAGAACTCGCGATATTATGATAACAAAAAAAGACATCTTATAATTTTTGTTAATTATTTTTGTTCGTACTGACTGCCTTGCTGTAGTTCAGTGTCGGGCCTTCACTCAATGATCATCTAGGAGTATAAGAATAAAAATCTTACGAATAGCAAAACCTTTTTAGGTGTTTGATGAGAGAAATTCTCATTAAAAAGTGAAGGCGTTTCGTTGCCAGCGTCAACGAAACGTAACGAAACCCCTCTGTGTGAAATTATTTAAATCGTGTTCACACTTATCGAGTAATAATAATAATAATAAAATAATAATGATAATAATTTGTTTAACTTATAATCCATACTCGACTTAAAAAAACATTACAACTACTATGTTTGTTTATAGGAGCTGTGTACTTTGTACACTTGTTATACATACTTGTATGGACGTGAAAAACGTTATTATCTTGTGAGTTCGCATTATGCAACAGCAATCGTTTCAATGGGCATAACACCAAATACCAATGGACGAAAGGGTAAGTATCCGCGATAATACGAAGCCTCTGAGGAAATATGGTAGCATAAGTAACAATACCAACTTCACACGAAATGAGCACTACATCAAACATGTTGTAACAGCAACAGATACATTGCAAGGGCTTGCACTTAAGTACAGTGTGACGGTAATTATAATTATTTTTTAGTACTTTTTAATATTTTAATAAATAACTTTTGATATATCTTTCTTTAATTGCTTTATTCATGATATTGTACTTTTAGACTGAGCAAATACGAAATGCCAACCGACTCTTTACGAATGACAGTTTGTTCTTAAGAGAACATCTAAACATACCTACTTGCGATACCAATGTGATTGGATCAAACAACTTCCAAAATGACAAAGGATCAAAACCATCAAACATATCACCAATTGAAGAGCACAACATTGATGACTGTAATAATTTCTTAAATAAAATAGATCATAAAATTGCTAGTGCAAGAGCTCAAGTTATAGATAGTCAAGACAGAAGTGTGTAAGTTATTTTTTTTAAATAATTTAAATTTATTTATGAATAATTTACCATTTCTATGAAAAATTAGAATGTGACCTACAATTGTTTATAATACCACATTCAAATTTATTTTTTTCCTATAAAAAACAATTTTTTATCAAAAATATTAAAGTTATTGGAATACATGAATGAACCTCTAGAAAATATTTTACCTCAAATCTATTGTAAGTTTAACTGTGAATGCCACTTCAGTATTTTATAAGCCATTATAGTTACCATTATCAAATTTCTCCATCTAATTTAATTTTATAAATTATACAGATCATATGAGTACTTAATAGCTTAATTAAAAAAGAATAAAAGTGAAACATAAAACATAATGCAACTTTTACAATAATTCTATTCTTTGATTTTAATTTATAGTAAATAATTAAATTTAACAAATCTATTAATTATTTATGATAACTCTATTTTAAATTGTTAATTCACTTGACCATTTTAAATACCATATATTCTAAAATTATGTAATTTATATTAATTTTAATGTAATTGATAGAAATGAATAATATTATTCGTTGGTTATAAAGGTACTGTCCAGAAGAACAAGTATTGTTTACACGACAACGACTAGCAAGTCGTAGAATACAGGGTCCTTCACTAAGTTCAGATGATATACCAATAATTGTGACCCAGAATAAAAAGTTGATGAATTCACGGCAACGGCTTGAACAAGAGGAAGAAGAAATGTTTAAACTGTGATAAATAATAGTATAATATATCTAGCCAATATTTTGTTTAACTATAACTATTTCATAGTAATTACCTTAAAATAATTTTGATTGAGATGTTGACTTATTAATATTATCTACTTGAACTGTAACTTGTTTTTAAAAAAACTATTATAATTTATTTTCAATCTAAGTAAGGTTGTGGTTACATTATTTTTATGTTTAAAAGTACATTTATTTTTTGTCTATATTTGACATGTAACCAATGCTGTGTTTGGTTCCTTTTTGATGTTGTAATTTAAAATAATATTTTTGATCAATAAACTATGTTCTCCGTTAATTTTTGAAATTTTATACTTTTTTTTTTAAAAGATATTAAATATTTTTTAAACAATTAATTGTAGATTTACAAGACACCTGATGTCGCAACAGTAGTTCCTTGTTATAAATGTTTAGCATCATAATACTTTCTCTCTTAATATTTATGAGCAATGTATACTAAATTTATCATAGAATATAAATAAAATATTGATTCAATTTCAAATTTTTATTTGGTTTTTCAAATTAAATATTTACTTAACTATATTATTTATATTGGAACAAAACTATTTTATACCCTTTTTTTTTATAAACAGCAAATATTATAGTTACATCTAAAAAAAAAATGATTGCTTTATGTACATTAATTCACTAAAATAATAATATTATAATTATATAATGTATTAAAGCATAAAGTTTTGTTCATAGAAAGTTTTTTGTTTCATTTCCAGAAATTAAAAATTTGATATCTAAATAGATTTATAATTTAAAAAAATAAATATTTATAAATTATTTATTTCACTTGTGAAATTTCGATGTTCACTTATTCTATACTATTGATCACACACCACATAGATTTAGTAATTATTTGTTCAAGGTTAAATATATAGTCATAATTTATATACAGTATGTACTGATACAATGACACATACATACCTACATGTAAACTGATTATGTTAATTTAATATATGCTTGCACTTTATGTTTAATACTTTTTTGTAAGGCATTGTCTTAAATTGTTACAATTAATAAAAAATTAACATAGATAGGGGTAGGTTTTTTAAAAACGGAAATCAAATTTATATTTATCAATTATCAATGATTTTATATTGCAGTATTGATTTTTTTTAAGAATAATGAATGTTAAGTTAATAAGGCAGACATCACTAAATTATTATACTGCGAAATGAATTTACTATACAATTTTTAGCTACTAAATGACCACTCATTAATTTAAATATATAATCCCTATTTTCTAATACCTGTTGGCTATAGATATTAGTTATATCAACGATATGTCATAAAAAAAGCAAATGCATTGTTTTTTATTTTATTTTATCCACTCTTATAATTATAAATATGAATTATTGTTTATTATTATAAATTATATTTCTGATAGCATGACTTCATTGTAGCTAATGCTATAGCAATTAGTTATTTGGTTTTAAATGAGGTCACAGTGACAAATTATGGGGGTCGCGGGGATACATTCCCTCCCTGGCTTCCCTTGTCTTTATTTTTTAAGACCGGTATAACAATATAGATGTTATTTATGACTTTGTTATCCCGTGAGCTGTGAGTGAAATTACCATTGATTAAATACGCATATTTATATGTCTACATTTTAATTAATAGTTATTTGTTTTATAAATAAATAAGACGTGTAATTAGAGTGTAATTTTTTATGTTTATTTATTATTATTTTAAAAGTCTTTACACAGAGCACCTAACTGAAGTTACAATAGCTGCTATACCCAATTTTATTTTATGATGAAAGACTATTTTTTACACCAGGCACCAGCGTTAAAAGTATTATAAAAAATTTTGGAGGACTATTATTAAATATATAGGTAATTTAAATAAGCACTAAAAAGTTATTTCATATCTCCCTCAAAAAAAATCCTATAAGTGCAGCTGAATGAAGATATCAGAAAACAATGAATAATATGTACCTAATTATAGAAAAACCATTATAAACTATAGTCAATAATTTAAGCCTTGGGTTTTTTTTTTATCTTTTATTTAAATTTCAATCAAATAATATGTATTATAGAATTATAATATTCTGTTATTCCCGCGATGTTTATAGTAAGTATAAACAATAAAATATAAATAGTGCATATTATGGTGGTGCTAACTGCTAAACCCCTAATAAAAATTTAACAACTATATAATCATTATAAAATAGTACCTAAGTAAATATTGTAGTCTGTTTAGGAATAAATTAGGTAATAATGCGTTACAAACTAATATAAACCTGCCTTGTAGAATAATTTTTGTGTGTTCGTGTGTATTAACTACACAACTATTAATATAATTCAGGTATATAAAATATATGTATACATAAAGCTTATAATTTTTTTCTAAAAACCAGTTTTCAATACTAAATTATCTACTAAAAATACTAATTTAAATCTGCTTAATTGATGTAATAGGTAGTATAATAATAATTGATTATTATTAATACACATAATAAATATATAATATATAGTCAAAAACTCATAAGATACATTTCTACGACTGAAATAGTTCAGTTTTGGATTTTCCACCCTTGTCAGTTGTCACTCAATTTAATAATATTTTATAATATTATCATGTTGAACGCTTGTTTTATTTCAGTGGATTCATTTCGCCGTACCTAGTACCTACCTACTGGGCACTGGCTAGTCTCAAATCTCAATCCCGATTTCTCTTTCATTATCATTTATAACTAGTATTTATTAATTTATTATTTAGTATTTAGTAAGTGCTGTACTGGCCAAACCGCCGTAAGTATAAACCAAGTATGTTAACTAATTGTTAATTATTGTTATAATAATATTGTCTTTATTATTTAAATCTAGTCTCTCTATTCTAAGCAATGATATCAAAACAGAACTGTGAAATTGACCTATAATCTTGACATCTATTCTTGAAGTTCTCATCAAAAGGAATGAGTTAGAGTGTTGGACCTGATACACAAAGGTCCGTTGAAACTAATTTGTAATTTTTGAAATTTCGCTAAATAATATTTTATGATATATAATTAGTATATTAATATTTAAATCAGTGAATTGACCATAGGAATTTTCATGTGTGAGACGAGACATTCGTATCGCTTATAACTTATAAGTAGTAACATGTCGGAACTATTTGCGATTAGAATTATTATCGTAATTAAATTTATCATTTAGTATTTACCTTACCTATTATACCTATTTTTTTTTATAGACTTTAGGCTAAACAGTAAACATGCTATAAATTCGATCAGTATTCACTATTCAGTGCAATATACTAAATCGTTTACCTGCCTAATTAATATTGTAATAAAAAAAAAAAAAATTTTTATTTTCAAAATGCTTTTTATTTCATGATAAATTTTATTATTAAAAGTTAAGTGTAGAGATTCAAAATTATTTAGTATCTATAGCTTAACAGGGGATCTACAATTTAATATGGGGGCTTCCTTATACTTGCGCTATACCCGCGTAATTAATATTATCGTTGCAGCGTTGCCTATACTTTATTAAATTACGATTTACGACGATAATAATTAAATAACTACGATTTCTGTATTACATAATAAATATTGAAAAAACAATACACAAATACACAATAATGTTAATTTGAGGACCACATAATATTATACTATAATCATTTAATTGTTACGTGTTATTTGTTGATTATTATTATTTATTTATTTGTTATCACATCTATGATAAGGAATAAACAATTTATTTTATTACTTCTACACCTGTCTGTCATCTATCTTACAATTCTTACAGTAGAAAATTAATAAAAAACGAAAGTATGGTAGATTGAAATAAAAACCAGAAACGTTTATTTATAAAATTTTGTAATCAAAACAAAAAATATACATGTTTATAATTTTTCCTAAATTAATTGCAATTTTAAGCTTTTTAATAAAGATTTATACTAGTAATAGATAGATTATTAATTTAACTATGTGTGTAACTTAACTTATGACACAAAATGCTATAATTTACAATGTTTTTATCATATTTAAGTTTATCCATTTAAAAATAATGTATTTGAATACAAAGTATAACCCGAGACAGTTAATGACAATGAGTGCTATTAATTGTATCATCACATCATTTAATAATGACTGTTGTCATTATTAATGTTGGTATGTACGTGTATTTTTATTTTTATTACATTATGTAGACTGTAGTATTTAAATTTACAGAAAGCATTCTGTGTTATGTTAATACTAATATATATTTTTACTAGGATAATTGATGCATTTAGGTCGTTTGTTATTTTGTACTTTATATTCATATAATATATTATATTTTATAGTGTTTATAAATTAAATCTATTATTAAATTTATAGTATATTTTCCTGGACCTTGGTATACTTCCACTTTAATTGGAAAAAAAATTCACTTAATAAATTACCTTCTATTGTTACGAACATGTTTTTGTATTTTAATTACATTTATAACGGTTTCTTGATTACAAGTTATGAATAGATATGTTATAAGTTGTAATAGATACATAAATAGATTTTTTATATTATTCCTAAAAGACAATAGAAAACAAACAGTTTTCTTATTATTTTATTACAGTAGGTAGGTACATATTATAATGTATTTAAAGTTTTTTTTATGATCAATCAAGTTGTTTCCCTGAATTTTAAATTTCTGTCTATTCATATTGTTAATTTGCTCTGTATAATATTTGTCTCTTAATTTGATTTACGTTCTAACATTTAATTAATTAAATCTAAAAGTGTATTAAAATACAGTATATATTTTATATTAGAACTAAAAATCTACAATATTTTGAATTTTCTATGATGAAAACAAATTATAACCTCGCACAATAATCTATCATTTTATAATTGTATTACAGTTATCAATGTCTGTATCAAAATACTTTGCTGAACAACAAGAACCTGAAACTGAAGATTTAGTTGATTGTTTTATAAACTTAGAAAATGATCTTGTATCTCAGTTAAAAAAATTAAATTATGGTCCAAATGTTGAATATATCTATAGTCCATTAGATTATGCTTTCAATTTACACAAGATATTTTTAAAAAAGTTTTTACTTACAAACAAAAAAGTATTATTCTTAGGTATCAACCCAGGACCTTGGGGAATGTGTCAAACTGGTGTAAGTATTTAAGTTTTTAATTTTTAAAATAGTGAGTAAAATTATAATTTTATAATTTTTAGATACCATTTGGTGAAGTTAATATTGTCAGAAGTTATTTACAAGTAGATGGAAAAGTATTAACGCCCAAAAATTATCATCCTCAAAGACCAATTACTGGTCTTAATTGTCATAGAAGTGAAGTGAGTGGTAAAAGATTATGGGACCTTTTTATTGAACTCAGTGAAGGCAATCCATATAAGTTTTTCAAAAATTGCTTTATTCATAACTATTTTCCTTTGGCATTAATGAACAAAAGTGCTAAAAATATCACACCAGGCGATTTAAAGGTAATATTTAAAAATTCAGTTTTTATTTATCTTATTGCCTAATTGGTACTTGTTTCTTACAAACTTGTTATTAAATGCAGAATATTATCAATCAAAATTTATAATCATAAACTTTTTTGCCTATAATAGTTAAATATTTTAGATTTTTACTCAATTATGTAGAATTATTTTTTTAATAACATTTAAGATAATTATTTTATTAAATATAGATATTATATTTATTATATATAATAAGTAATTGTATTTACAATAAGAGTAAGAATTAAATTTAGATATGAGTACTCGATAAACATGAGTTAAACACTGTACATATGTCAATGATTTGAATTTGTCCAGCTCTAGACCTTGTTTAAATTTTGTATTATTCATAGACTAGTTATTATTTACACCAATATTATTCTATTTTCTAATGTTATGACTTATAAACCAAAATTCCCAACAATAATATTCTAAATTTAAAATACTACAACATTACCATAATTATAATGATATAATGATTTAAATTCAAATTTGATTATTAAAGTAATAAATAAGTAATAGTCGATGTACCTATGAAAGAAGATATTGGTTTCTGATTAGAGCAATAAATGTAATTGGACTTTAAATAAAGTTTTCTGTATTTATCAACATATTTTGTAAAATAATTCAATATTCAACTTTTGAGGATAAATTGGTAAAAAATTGGATCTAGTTACTTCAGTTAAAGTAGCTTTTAAGTAATAAAAGAGTACTTTTTAAAATGATCTAATACTTAGGTATTTTAAAATTTAAACTTTTTTGAATTTAATATTGAAAAAATGTTTATTTTTAAATCAAAAAGTTTGAAAGTTATACACTTGAGTGAGGAACCATGAGTGGGCCTTAAAAATTTAAAACCATGAAGAATCCAGTCACAATTTTATTTTATTTAGAGTGAATTTAATAATTTTAACAAAATTTATTTAAATTAAAATTATTTTTGGTTAACAATGTGTAAAATTTTAAGTTTCAATAACTAAGGCATGAAATATTTTAAATTCTATTTGTTAATAATTATCAATATTATTTATTCATTATTACAGAAAACTTGTTTATTCATTTTAAATTGTATTTAAAAAAAGTAAATAATGTTACATATTATCATTGATTATTGAATAGACTATTTTATAATCAATGATATTACATACATTATATAACTAAACAATATTATTATAAATCAAGTAATTTGATATATTATAGTAGGTTATAGAATTTAATTACAATTTGAATTTACATTTACATTATACTGTTGTATGATATGCATGTTTAGATGTATAAGAGTAGTATTTATTTGTATTTTAGAGTGAATACCAAAAAAAATTACAAGAAATCTGTGACAAATCGTTAAGTGATATAGTTACTTTACTTCATACTGATACCATTGTTGCTATTGGAAAATATGCTGAAAAAAGGTCTAATGAAGTTGTCAAGAAGTATAAATTAAATAATATTAAGGTAAAATTAGAAAATTTAAACTTAATAAGAAATAATTTATGAACTTATTAAAATTTAGGTTGTACAAATTCCTCATCCCAGTCCACGCAGTGTTGGCACAGCAGAGAAATGGAAAAATGAAACACTAAATCAACTCAAATCATACCATATTCTCCAGTTGTTCAAATAAAAATGGACTGGAGTACTCATATGAATATGTCATTATGTTTAGCTAAAGAAGCATTAAAAGTAGGGGAAGTACCTGTTGGCTGTATTTTTGTTGATAATGACGGTAATATTTTAGCTTCTGGCCGTAACACAGTAAATGAAACAAAAAATGCAACTCGGCATGCTGAAATAAATTGTGTCGACACAATTATTAAAGCTGGCTTTTTAGAAAAATTATCAAAAATAACTGTTGTTGTTACTGTGGAACCTTGCATAATGTGTGCTGCAATGTTGATAAATATCGGTTGTACTAACATTATTTATGGTTGTGCTAATGACCGTTTTGGTGGCTGTGGTACCGTACTTGCTGTTCCTGGTTTAGAAAAATGTAAAGTTCAAGGTGGATTATTCGGAAACCAGGCAATGGATTTACTTAAACAATTTTACAAAGGGCAAAATCCAAATGCTCCAGAAAATAAAGTTAAAAAAAAACCTGTAAATCCATGAAAGACAATTTTATTTTATTTATATATGTTTATAATTTGATCTAAGGTAAGTGATTTAGTGATTTACAAACAATGTATATATATTTATTTTTATTTTTTTTATTTTTGAAATGTAACATTATAAAACTATATAAATTTTGTTTTAAGGTGTTTAAGTTCTAAATTAAACTGTTTTATTGAGATATCTTTGTTTGATGTATATTTCACAGTTTTTGTTTCGTTTAACATAACAAATCCGTTTTCATTGAAATTACCATCTATTTGAGTGACATTTAGCCAAACAAACAAGCCTATTCCTGTTGATTCCAATGCAACATTTATTTGGTTTTTCTTTTCTTGCCAAATTCTAGACACCTGTGAAGAAAAATCAGTAAATGTTAATTTTTGGAATTGTATATCTACAATTATAGATACAATATTTTTAATTTTTCATGTAGATTGTAGATATTATACATGGTTTATTATTTTTTTTTTTAAGTAATGGAACCATCTTTGTTTTGAAATAACTAATAATGAAGTGTAATATTTTGCTTTTGCACACTTCTATAAAATATCAGTGTATTATATATCATATATGTACAGTATTTACATATGTAATGAAGTCCTAAATTTAAATGCATGCTTGAAAAATGATTAGATTATTAATTTATAATAAATTCTGTGTGACCATTTAGAATTAAATATTTATTGTTTGCAAAGCTCTTTAAAAAAATTATGATATACTTATGATTTTTTTTTAAAGTTAAAATTAATTTAATGTTTGATTCTAATACAAATCGTGGAGATTTTTATGAAATTAATTAAATTATCTTCCTATGATTTCATATATATTATAATTGATACACAAAATTTAGCATTAACATTTTAGTAAAAAACTTTATTGACAAGCATTTGAAACGGTTATAGAATTGGTCATTTTATTTCTGTATAACAAAGATTGTTTTTTATAATTACTGAAAATTACATTTTTTCATTTTAAATTAAAATACCTATCAATTCTAATAAATTTACTAAAATGGGAGTTTTCTTCTTTAATCTATTTTGTATTATTTTACTTTAATTAAAATAATTTTTTTGTTTTGTAATCCTGATTGCTACTTTTGGAGTACCTACAGATTTAAATATTACATTTTTTTTCATAACATTTATAACAATTATATAGTTAATATGAATTAGATACTGAATGGAAAAAACAAACCGATATATTAGGTGTCTCATAACCAATTATTTTGTTGAATGTGCTTGGAAACAGGTAATTAGATGGAGACGCCTCTGTCATATTTTTATTGTTATAATATAGTTTAGTGTGCAAAAAACAAGATCGAATCTGTTGGTCTTTGCTTTGACCACATTTTTGTGTAATTGCATTTAGCCAATTAAAATAGTTTTCATTTAAAACTAACTGGGCACTATTATTTTTCTGAAACAATTAAAGAAATATTTGATTGAAAATTAACTTTACAAATATTGAAGTGTAATAGGTAACTAATAACTAAATTCTAAACACTACTAACCAATAATATAGTATCTGATATGTATGTAGTGAGTGGAATATTGCTTTTCCAATTAAATATTTCTACATTAAAAATTACTTCCAAATCAACTAGACTATCAGAAACAACATGAATTGTTAAATTATTTGAAATTTCTAATTCTGGAACTATGATAATCGGTGAGAAAAAATCTAATGCACTATAGTGTAATATTTTCCATCTTTGGTCATAATCTGAAAATAAAAATTATTAATATACCATATAAATATGATAAGTACAAGATATTAACATATATTAAAACTAACATATTTTTAATCTATTTATAGGTTTAATATATCCATTTATAATAAATAATATTATTCAGTCATTAAGGAAAGACTGTCATATACTCATACATAATAACTAGTATCAGAGAAAATGCAAAGTGCATTATTTTGGCAGCTCTAGAACAATGTATTCAAAGTAGGTACATGATTTATTTCAATATTTCATGTAACATATACTTCAAAGGTGAAACTTTTATTTTGCATTTTCAATTTTGTTCAGTGTTTTTAAATCATTTTATTAACATTTAGTATATATTATATGTTAATATATTATACAAGCTTTTAATTTAAATCGAGAAATTAAAGAAAAATATTGTTTTCATAATATTTCTTTAAATAGATTTTTGATACTTTTTACCCATACTAAATATTGATTGTTCTGTTAAAAATGTGATAATATTTATCTTCTATGATTATAAGACGTGGTATTTTATGGAGACTTGAATGAATAATAGCTAATTGATTAGTTGATGATGCATCATGATGGCATTTATTTCCTGTATAGGCATTGTTTATTTATTATGCATACCTAAGTATGGTATTTTGTCTTTTAATTACTATTAATTTTATTTAGATAAATTAATGCTAAAAATTCTGAAAGTTAGCCCGTTTTTTATCACCTGTTGTAAACCTAAAAAAATGTCGGTAATTTTTAAAGATAATTTAAAAGGCATTTTTTATTATTTTTAAGATATTTAAATCTGGACACTAGTAATAACATAGTATACATTATTATTATCATGTATGCAAATTTATTTATATTAAAACATACAATTTTAAAATTAGTTGTATTACCTATTGATGACCAAGTTGGTGCTTGCCATACATCATTTAATTGCCAATATAATGCACCCATTGTTAAACCTCTACCATCTTTTAATAATGTATTTCTATGTTTTCGATACCATTCTGTTTGTATTCTCATAGCCCTAGCTTGAACAATCTAACACAATAATAATAATTGCAAGTGATAACTGATTAATAATAATTAATAAGTGAGCTTTAATCATAAATGCTTACTTGACTCAAGTACACATAATCACTAACAGTGGGCTTTGGTGGGACAGGTAAATTGATTTCTATTTGATATAACATAAACCCATATCCTAAAGGTAGATGTTGTCTATGAATTAGTGCTGGTGAAGGAAATTGCTTTAAATCATTTATATCAAAAGCGTTTTGCAGTGTCTGATATGCAGGAAGAGACTGTAACCCATATTCTGATGCAAATCTAGTCCATGGAAAAAAAATTGAACTCCAGCTATTAACTTCATAGTTATAGTAATGTACTAAAAAAAATTAATTTAAAAAAATGTATGCCTTAAATAATTAATTTAAAGTTATAGAATTTACCATCTCCATATAAAGCACTATATGGATTTTCCGCTATATAATTTTCTTCATCAGATTTTAAGCCATTTGAAGGACTTGATACCACAAAATTTCTTGTTTTATCTTCCTCCATTATTGTTTTTTTTATTGTGTTGACATAAAGTGCAATATAGTCAGAAGCAAACATAGAATAATTATTTCTCGTTCCATACCAATTGCCTCTTAATGCAGCTTCGTTTTCATTGTTACCTGCCCACAATATTATGCTGGGATGATGTTGTAATCTTCTAATTTGTTGCTTTATTTCTACCCCTACTGTTTCTAAAAATTGTTGATTTGTTGGATACATATTACATGCAAACATCATATCTTGCCACACCATTATACCTAACTTGTCACATATCTATGCAAATAATTTGAATTTAATATCAAGATTTTAGTTTTGAATATCTTAATTGGCTTAATTAATAATTACATTGTAAAATTCATCGCTCTCGTACACTCCACCGCCCCACACACGAATGGTATTCATATGAACTTGTTTTGCTGCAGTTAATAAATTAATTATAACATTTTCATTATTCATATTCTCTGGAAATATGTTGGCCGGAATGTAATTAGTGCCTTTAGCAAATATTGGCACGCCATTTATTTTAAAATAAAAAGATAATCCTAAAATATATATATTATATATATTTATAAAAACAATTCGTATTAGATTTTTTTATGCCTAGTCTTACTTACTAGTAGGACTTAGAAATTGATAATTTTTTAGTAGGTATTTTTTTAGGATTACCTTAACTTTTCTAGCTGAAAACGTGTTTCAATATTTATGAATCTAAATCTAAATTATTTTATAATTTTGGCTATGGTTCAATATTTTATTTACCGTCTACCCCTAAACCGAGATTTACTATATTCTATATTTTTATTTTTAATTCAAATGTTCAATTTTTAATCTACTTGTAGAAAACCATAAATTAATAATTTTATAATTTTAATACAGTTTAACATTCTCATATATTTAACAACAACTAATTTACGTTGAAAAAAGTGATAAATTACAACATAATAGTTTGGGTTTGTCCAAGTTAGGTACAAATAATTCTTGCAAGTCTCAAGTATGAAATTTTTTTACGGAGGGTTTGAATTTCTAGCATATTCTGTAAAAAAGGTATTTTAGAATACAATAATGTACCAACAACCCTAATGTACATAAAAGACATATATTATAAATACTTAACTTTTAATTTTTTATTGAATTATAAAACATATTTTTTAATAAATTAAATTAAGAAAAAAAAGTGGTAGATATATAAACGTGAGGGTAAATAATAAATAAAACCAAGAAAATGAAAAACTATTCAACAAAATATTTATACTTTTTAAATATTATGACGTATGAGCTTTTCTATAAAAATAGTAAACGAGCTATTAATTTTGTTTTATTCCATGTAATAGTTAATTTATTTATTATTCAATAAAAAATTTGATTAGTGAAATAAAATGGAGTATAATTAATTAAAAAAAGTATTATTTTGGAATTTTATGGCTTTTTAATTTTTTGAGAGCATTTAATATTTTTAGATCATATTTTAGTTTTATTTAAAACCCAAAAAAATTTAAAGTTTGAGTCAATATTAATTTTTTAGGTAATCAACTTCCGAGCCCTACCAGCTATACAGCTGTATACATTAGTTATTACAATAATTTATACCCAATTTTGGATCATTTTTATCAATTGGTTCCTGGATTAGTTCAGCTGTTCTGAATCCTATAGAAATTATTTTTGACTGAACATCACTTTTAGTTACAAATTCTATGCTTAAATTATACAGCGGCTGTTCACCATATCCATTAGGCCACCAAGTGTTTATGTCAGTCTGAAATAAAAATTATATTAGTAGTATAATTTTTAATTGTGTAGCCGTATAGGTTTATTATATTATATTTAAAAACATTTATGTATTGTAAAAACAGGATATTGTTAAACTATATTATAGGTTAGGTAGGTACTCAAGAGTTGAGGAAACTGCCAAAAATGTTCGCTCATAACTATGCGTTGTTGGTTATTAGTTTATAACGCTATTAAACTCAAATATTACAAAAAAAAAAAAAATGTATATTAAAGAAGTTTACTGATGTTTCTATTGATGGAGTAAATAGGTTTACAACTTGCAACTTAAAACTGTCATAAAAACTTTATTTTTGGTCTCTTATAATAGTCTCCTCGTTTATTGGTAAGGAATAATTTTATTAAATTTTACAAAGGTATAAAATATAAATTTATACTTGAGACAGTAACAAATATAAAATAAAAATATTACTTGTGATTTTGGTACATATATCCTTATATTTTATTTTTATACATTCTTATATAATTAAGTAAAAGACACTTTTTTGAGTATTTGTTTAAATTACTTATCTAATAAAATAATAAATATATTAATACACTTTTTTTTTTTTAAATTTCTATAGTAATTTATAATTAAAATTCTAAATTAATATATGATTAAGTGTATCTTATTATTAAATCATTTTGTTTCACTTGCCACTATACTTAGATATACCTTTAGTTATTATTTTTTATTATTAAAAAAAATAATAATAATAATTACTGTAATCTGATAAATTTAAAAACTGTTTATTCAATTGGAGCTCATCTGCTCAGAACCATGCTAGGTTTATACGTATACCTATATATTTTTAAAACAATTGTAAGTACCTACTTAAATATTTTCGAAATAAATTATAAAAGATTAAAGTTGAGGTACTTAGGTTAGGAAACTAAGAACAAAATACTTCAGCGTTTATAGAGATAAGAATAAATATGCCAATTGCTTTGTAGGTACTATAAAATATAATTTTGAATTATAAATAAATATATATTATAAAACTACCTACTAAAAATTTAAACCACTGTTTTTTTTAAACTTTATTAGGCATATATATCGTTTTTTCTGTTAAATATCTAAGTTATGAAACTTTAGAGATCCCAAAATGTTTAAAACAAAAACACCATTCAATCTTTGATCTTAATAACATCAATAAATTTCGTTCCTCTCAGAGTCTTCCATTGTACTTTTTCATTATAACCATATCAAATTTTTTTAAGTACCTAAATATTATAACATTTGACAGATATAAATTAAAAAGTAACACAATTACTCAATTTCAATAAAAATTTATGAATCATAATTATGTGTTATTGTTAACTAAATCGCAATTAGAAAATAATTTTTAATTTTTCCCATTATTACCATAGGTACATATAATTCAATGGCAGTATGCATTTCGTTTTCAACGCATAAATCGTTACAACAATTCCGTTCTTTACTTAAAATACTTTTTTCAGTATTCAAAGCTAATTTAAATTTAGCATCAGAAATACTTCCAAAACATGTAATGTACATATCAGTTTTTAATAACCAATGTGTAGTATTTGCCGCAATTGTTTCAGTTTTAATATCTTCTAGTAAATTGTCTTGGAACATTACTATCCTTACGCTTTTCCTATTAACATAAACATAGATACATTGTTTTATTAATTATATTATTGTTTAAGTACATGAGTATCTACGTACATAACTGCTTTAAATTACAAGACCTACCATATTCCAACTGATGGAAATGCAGGACCCCAATCCCATCCAAATGAACTTTGCATTTTTCTTAAGTAGTTTACATGACATTCCCCGTTGTATTCTTTAGGAACACAAAATGGTGGAATTTTTTTAGAATAATCATTAAAAAAATTATTTGCCATGCGTATAGGTGATTTGATGATGACTTCCAGTAGATTTTCCTCTTCCTGGTACTATGTCAAATTACAAGTATTAATGTTAGGCAAAACTGTAAAGATTTTATGATTATATATATTTAAAAAAAACCATACATACTTTAAGAAATTCTTCAACGGCAAAAGTATACCTCACAAACATATTATTCGTTGAACCGATTAGTTTTTTATTCAAATAAATATCACTAAAAGTATCTATTCCATCGAAAATAATATACTTTTTATTGAATAATTCAAAACTCGAATTCACTAAAAAAATAAAAAACAAAGTATTAATATTTATGCGTAAACTGTAGGTTATATTTTGGACTTTATAAGCTGAACGATAGACCTAGTTTTACGATTGGGTATATTTTTCCAGTCTGTCTTAAGTCCCCTATGAAATAGTAAGTTATAGGTACTTTGGGGCGACAGAAGTTAAAAATTCTCAGTACCTTACAAAGTGTGCCTACAAGGAAAAACACTTAGGGAAAAACAGAAATATTTACGCTATAACAGTTTCGACTAAATCTTGTTACGTTAAAATTTATAAACAGATAACCGTAGGTCCGTAGATACTTAAATTTTTAATCGAATGCTCATTATAAATTTCTTTACAACACAAAATAATATTTTCGTAATATTTATAATTTATACTAATTTAAGCTATTTAGACATTTGTAATATTTTATTTATTATTTTTTTTTTAAGTTAGTAAAAATGTTTACACTCGGTTGAGAAGTTGAAAAATTTAATACAATATTATACATAAATAGTTCTAACAGATATCTAAAAATATCAACAAAAAAATGCATATTTGCATCTAACTTGTTGGATTCTTAAGTAAAAAATAACAATTTTAGTTATTTTCTTATAATTTAAAAATAATAATAATTGTAAAGACTTTGAGTTTTTTGTTATTACTTATTAATAACGTGTACCTATAATTATTTATTAAGTACTTTGAAATTTTCTGAATATTTAGATTGATTTTAAGCTTTTGACACCATAAACTAATTTTATTATCCTTATATTAGTTATATTATAATATGAAATATATGTGATTTGTTTTCGTTAGAAATTAGATTTAAAGATTATAGATGATTTGAGTAGTAGACCCATCATTTTGCAGGGTATTCATATATATCACTACATTACGCCAGTCTAAACTTTAAATACATACTTAAAACTCATAAACTACTAGTTCGGAATTTGATTTTTAAATATTGAAATATGTAATCCAAAAAGTACTTTACCTTAGAATATAAAATTAAAAATGTATGTTGTATTCAAAAATGAAAAAAGTAAAAAACTTAAAGAGACATTTAAAAATATAATTTTTTTTATAAATGTTGTTTTATTTCAACTAAAAATTATGAAAAAAATTATCATCAAAAATGTTAATAGATTTTGAAATAATAAGTGTTGTTAGATAAAAGATCTCTTCCCCTGTATACATTTATTATAAAATATATACTTAAAAGAATAAGCCGAAGGTTTACGCTCAAAATTGTTTTTTGTATTTCGTTAACAAAAATTTATTATTGAATTCAAACTTGACACATCTATATCACAGTAACTTTCTACTCAATGATAAATTCAATCGACACCTATTATAACAGCACGGTAATCATAGCTTAAAAAAATATGTATTCTATTGATTCCAGTATAACAACATTTTAATATCTAGGTAGGTTTTTTAAATTAGAAAATATATAGATATTTAATTAATTGAAAATTGTTTAATACATTTTTTTAAGTTTTAATATTCTATTTTATGATGAAAATATCCATTACAACCAAACATTTATAATACACGTGTGGGGTAGTCTATAAATATGTTACACATTGTAAGATATTTTTGTAAATCTTCGACTTTATGGTCCAGTCAGTGACACTCGTGGTTATATATATATATATATATATATATATATATATATGATGTTATTATATTAATATATTATACAAATTAACAAAACATAAAGATTATAACACTACACTTCTAATTTTATTTCAAACAGAATTAGGAATAGTTCGACATAGTTATGCTTTTAAGCTTTTAGCCTGTATATCCAATATAATCGATTGTCTTTTTGTTTAATTGTTTGTTATGAATAGCATTCTAGTATTAAATTAAAGTACACATTGTTTTTTTTACCAATGTACCTATAACTTATACTTAAACCACATTATAAATTATTTTATTTATTTTGTGTTTCAATTCTACTGTATTAAGTATTTTATATATTTTTTAATTTGTTCCTTGTCAATAAATTATTATTTCCTGATAGTAAAAACGTTAAAAATAAATATATTTATTTCATGACCTTGTTTTTAAAAAAGTAATGAAATTATTCATTTTTCTGTGACATTGGCATACTTACAGCCAATTTATTTTATCATTATTATTATTATTTTCGTGAAGGCACGCTCTTTGAGCAGTATTATGGTTAGTCTTAGTATTGTGTTTAATATAATAATATCTGTATACTCGTCAAAATATATTGAAAAAACCTTAATATCCAAATGCATAAAAAAAACATTCCTAACCTAACGCGTAGATATGATATTTAATAAATAATAATTAATAACTAAATAGTAGATACTAGATCACTAGCGCTATACCAAGATACTATATAGTATTAAATGAATATGGAAGAGTTGTTTTTATTAGTGTAAATACTGAAAATGCATATAAATTAAACAAGAATGGCCGTCATTAGTAATGTATTATTTATAAATGTTAACACTAAATATTAAACATATTTTAGGTACAATACTATAGACAATTAAACACATTGTATTTTTGAAAACGTTGAAACGTTACTTCGTATTTACCATTATATAAAATTAGGTACCTCTACTCACTACATAATATTGTATTACATAAAGTAAATAAAAAAAAAATCTTACAATAATTAATAAAATTAATTTTTTTAACTAAATTCTTTTTAGATTCATCCAAGCAATGAATGTAATAACTTTACAAGTGTTTTTTTTTTTGTTAAAAAAATAGATTTTCAAATCAAACAATTTAAATACATCCCAAAACAATTATAATAGTGTAAGTTGATAAACTACCTTCGTTCAAATATTTTTTCATGTACAACGGTTTATCATTGAATTCAAATTTAACACATATTATATTACATGACTTACTCAATGACGAAGTAAAATATAGACACCCACCATACAGCTAGTGGTTACCTACTTTCCCCCTTTTTCAAAATGATTAGCTATGTAATTGTTCTGATACTTTGACACGAATTTGGTGAAGTTGCGGTTCAGTGATTACAGGTCTGAATCGCTCGCTATATAGTAATAATAATTGACTAATAAAATAATGGATTTTACATGGCTTAAAATTTAAGTAGGATAACAATTCTTATGACTGTCGTCGCACTGGATTTTGTAAATTGCTAACCAATAGTATAGACTTTAAGATTTCATAGTGTTATATCAAAAATTGTATCAAATATCATATTAAAAAAATATGATTAATAAATAATCTTGCATATCAAAAAAATAAACATAAATTTGAATGTTTAAATTGCATGCTAACTCTTAGAAGGGTCTGTCCGAATTGCATGCCATGTACCTTCAAGTTTATCTTTATTTATCATGCACTCATGTGCAAAATTTAAACTTTATTTTTCTATTTTTTTTTTTTTATAAAGCGTATGAATAGAATGATTAGTTTTAAGATTGAAATATTTTTATATTCGAGTAAACATTTTACAAAATTATTAAAGATGACACTGTGAATATTAAATAAAACGATTGTAGTTTAAGGTATAATCCAGTGAATAAATTTTACATTTTTACACGGCATTTAAAATAATTAATAATATTATGAAATTTGGTCGAGTTTTTGATAATAAATAAAATAGTATATATATATTTTTTTTTTAATTAGAAAAGTCAAAAATAAAGTCATGCACATAAATGCATGATAAATAAAGATAAATTTGTGTGTACACAGCATGCAATTTAGACATAACATTCTAAGAGGTGGCATGCAATTTGAACATTTTTATTATTTTTGACATGCAATTTAGGGACGCAGCTTGAATAATTACTTTATTTTGATTGAATATAGAAAATATATCCTCAGTAATTTTATTACATACCTATGACAATACGATAATGATAACAATGCCTACAATTTACGAATTTAATATGTTTAGTTTTTAGCAAGTAAGTATTAGTTTTATCATAAAATTCAAATTTATTTTTAAAATCAATAAACAAACATAACAAAAACGAAAGGTTAGGTAAATATAATTATACATTATAAGCTGTAGCCATTGATTAAATATAAATTATAAGTAGGTATTATAAATTATAATATGTACCTACAATATATTTAATCAATGATAGGTACCTATAACCTTTTCATTGGGCTAGAAAACTTTTATCTACACTTGTTATTATATTATTTACAACATTAAAGGTCATTTTATGGGGGTTTTTAAGTATAATATATAATAACATAACTTAATTCATATTTAAATACATTTATAAATATTTGGAATTACATGAAACTTATTTATAAATAATATTTATAATGCATAATATACTTATTAAATACGTTATAAACCAATCACTGAACAGATATTTTGTCAACTTAACATAAAATTAATATCAATTTATCATCAATTGGCAATAATTATCATTTATCATGATAGCCATTAGTATATTTTATTTAAATAAGGAGCCTTTAACAAATATTTAAATGTATAATAATTAGGTAAGTACTAAACAGTGATGATTGATGATTAACTAATAATTACTAAAAATAAGAAAGGTTATCGATTTTTTTTTTTTAAATAAAAATCCATATAGTTAAATAGGTTTTGGCATGCATATAACCGTAAAAACGTTAAAACAAAAAACAATATTCTTTCAATCGTATTGCATGTGAAAAATACATTACACAATTTGCTAACCGTAAATACACTTAATACCTAAACTATTTTGATTATTTTGTTAGTTGTGAACTAAATAGGTTTTGCACATGTTTATGCGACCGAACCACAAAGGAAATGTAAGTTTAATCATGGTATACAAACTGAGTCAATAAACTCGAAGTTAAACCTTAATAAGTACATTAATTATTTTGTTATAAGTGTTAAAAACTATAAGAAAAAAAAAAATAAGTAAAATTATTAAATCTTATTTTAAAATACATGTTTGGGACTATTTTGTGATTATACATATAATTATCTCAACTACTTGAGACTAGATAAATAAATCCATATTAATGAAAT